AGGAAGATATATATATATATATGTATATATATATATATATATATATACACACATATATATATATATATATAAAACGTTCGAGGATAGTCGTCGGAAGACCCGCGAAAAAACCGAACGGAGAACGCACGAACACACGGTAACGACGTCGACACGACGTGTCGCGTGACCCGCGTTCTATGACGACGACGACGGCGTCGAGGACGACGACGGCCGTCGGTGGTGGTCAGTCGGCGTGGAATGAAGTTGGCCCGCGGGTTAGGTTGGGTTAGCCGAGCCGGAGTTGCAGCATCAGCGAGGAGAGAGGGACGAGAGAGGAGGGCAGAGAGCGCGCGAGCGAGCGAGCGAGCGAGCCGTGTACGAGGAAGGGGCGGAGGGAAAGAGAGAGAGAAAAGAGTGGAAGAGAGAGCGGAGCGGAGGGGGAAAAGCACCGAGGGAGAACGAGGAGCGACGGACTGTGGAGCTGGAGAAAGGAGGAAGGAGAGAGGGAGAGAGAAAGGGAGATCGAGCGAGATAGCGTAGCGAGGCAGAGGGTGGGGTTGGAGTGAGAGAGGCGTAAGGCGTAAGTCTGCCCTAGTCGCTCGCTTAACCGTGCAGGAGGTGGCGCCAATATAACCCGTACTCCACCTCCGTCCGACAAAGAGCTTGCGTATACCTGTATGCGCCTGTTGGTAGGCCATACCGCCTACTCCGACTACCGTATTGCAGGATTTGCGATCCGTGCCGCCTGTAATTATTGCGATTTCACTTATATTCCGTCATGCCTCTTGTTTTTACCTGCCTCGTTTGCTTCCTATACTTCCCCTCGATGCCTCTTTTTCTCGTGTGTACACTACGGGGTGGAGTGCGTATCGTGGGTCAAGAATCGAAGAGGGAAACTGGAAAATTAAAGAAATTGAGGAAAAAGATTAATTGGAAGGCTTCGTTTTTGAAGAGATTCACTATCTCGATTACATTGTAAAAATTTTTCATCAAAATTGAAACAACTGAAATAAGTGACAACTATCGATATGTTGTTATTTCATTTAAAAAATTATGGTATCTTACAACAAAAAGTAACTAATCTTATATATAACCGTTTCATAAAAGTTGGAAAATATCTTTAAAATGCTAAATATAATTAATGAAAACATATATACAATTTCACAATCGATCTATATTAAAAATTATTATTATTTCACTTTTTCTTAAATACGAGAATTTTCGGTATATTATTCGATGCTTTGTTTACTACTATTCGAATAGCGTGGCTTATACTCGAGACATTACTGTACAGGTTAACCGTGCGAAATTTTCTTCGCGACGCCATCTTAGGAAATATTAACAACGACGCAGTTTCGCGACGCGAGAATTATCCTCGATCCGTGAATCGAATGGTTGAGATATCTATGAGTGTTTTAATAAATTTTTTGTACGAGCGATTAACATCTTTCTCCATCGCGAAATCGTTCGTTCTGGCGTATCGCGTTACTTATCGCAATTACCGCAATTCTCCATTTCCTCGAATCGATCTGTCGACAAGAGGACGATAGTTCATTGGCGCCGATAAACGATCGTTATCCTCGATCGAACTGCCCTTACCTTTCACGTATACCTCCCGGTAATCGGCGACGACGTGGGCGGCATAGCGGATTCCCTGGGACAACGCAAACCTCGAACTCGAGGCAAAGGATGCCTCGATCTCTCGACGATCCGTACGTTGTTCGTTCTTCCATGGCTCGAAGAAGTGTGGTGGAATACGTGGCTCGATATGTTTCTCACTAATCGACACGCGTAAATTTACGTCGTATGTATTCGTCCTGGGACGTTACGATTCGTAATCAAAGATTTATTCGACGAATTTTCCATCACTGTTGTTATACGTACCGTCAACACAAAGTATAACGAAACAAAGAATTAGTCACGCGAGGTTAGAAAATACAGAGCAACCTTATCGACATGCGTGCGTGGACTGACAGCCTAAAAATTAGACGGATGGTGTTGCGATGATGTCAGGAGTGGGGATACTACATGATCGAGTTCACAATTATGCAATAAATTAAGCTTTGAATTTCAAAAGATATTATATATTATATAGTATATATTAAATATATAATTATATATTATATAATTATTTTGCATTATAACAATTGTAACAAAATTATATAATTACTATTTTGTATAATTTGGTAACTGAAAAAGATCGAATGTAACAACGAATGTAGCAGCGTCGCACCAATGAAAAGCGAGCATTCATTTACTTGAACATAATTGGTCCAACGATGCTTTATAGAAAACTATAAAAGTCGGAATATCCCGAGTAAGAGTTAATTGGAAACCGAAGGCGTATGGAACAACTCTCTTCTTATATTCTACATTTTGTAACAATTTTTGTTGTTATAATTGCACACTCGTCGAATAAATAAGTGTCAAAAACGAGAAATTGTGATACAATCTTTCATCATATTATAAAAGGTATTGCTATTATCTTTTTTATTTTAATAATGAAATTTACACCTGTTTTTTGAAAAGGTGAATTTCACACGATACTTTTCTTATCTTTAGGAATAAAATGCCGTATCAACGTTCGATCATCTATTACCCCGAGAGAGACCCTGTATTCCAAACATATGCACGAAACGTGCAATTAAACTTTGATCTTGATACTTTGGTCTTTGATTGCTTTCCTTCTTCAATCGAGGTAAAATTTCTCGAGGACTCTTCGTGACTGATTGCATAATAAAGGCGCAGGTGAGTTAAAAGTTAATTGTACTTATCGCCATCGCGTATTATTCATATTGTGCAGAAGTCGTGAAACGCGAGAAAAATACTTTACAAGAGTTAAATTGCCGGTTTACCAACCGCCGTTATTACACGCTGTCACCGTCGTAACTCGCTCCCAACTTTTTCCACTGTTTCTTGCGACGTTCGTTACTTCGCATGACAAATTGTAATACTCTAGAAGAGTGACTCGCGCGATAGACGCACGCTCGTACCGCCACCTTGAGCGTGATTCCAGTTAACCTATAACACGTCAACGAACCTTTATATTTAGTGACACACTTTTTGTGCGCCACTGATACTTGGCATACGAATAAAACATCATATCGCGGAGAGTTTTCACGAGTTTTACAAGTCGACACGTAATTAACACGTTCTTTGGTTGTGTAACGCTTCGATCGTCTCGGATATTTTTCGAATGTTCGCGAGCCACATGCGGGCGCGTACGAAAGAACGAGTGTGTGGACATCGAGCAGCAGTCGAACGAAGGGTTGGAATGCGAGATATGAATGCGTTAATGCGTCGTTACTGACAGCGACACGAATCGTTGATAGTACTTTCTGCCCTTCTTCGTACCATCGGTGCGTTCCAATTCAGCTTGCTCCGCTTTTATCTCTCTCTCTCTCTCTCTTTTATTTTGCGAACTCTTCCCATTGGATGCGTTTTAATTTGACTCCTGTCGCTCGCGTCGATTGGCGTATCTGGCTTAAAATTCTACTAATAGTCGCCACTTGGCAATCGCTATTATCGCGCGGGACACACTCTGAAATAGCACGAGCTGTCACATCGATGTCAAAGATTGATCGCACCAGACTGCGACATTCTCGTCGGGCGCATCGATAAACGCAATTGGTGTCGCATTGAAAACGATCTGATTGACTGGCTCTGTCGTTAGTCATCCTGAAAAATTCGTTGATGTATTTTCGGATTAACCTCGCGAAAAATATCTCGCCGTTCAATTCGTCTAATTTAATATTTTTGAACGCATTTTAGCTGCGAAAAAAAAAAAAAGTCATTGAAATGCATATTGTGAAAAATAAACGCTTTCGATATATATCGATCCACGATCCATGCATTAAATGTTTCGCATGAAACGGTCGAACAGCCGCGGTCAATTTCCACGGTATATGTATTGCAGGAGAAAAAATGCCGAGCTATTAGCCGCGTATACGCCAAGGTATACTTTGCTCTTTTCACGGACCTCTAGCCCAACCAACGACAACGCGACCCCGTAAAGTGTTGGTTGAGCCCTCGACTTTGTATGCACGGAAAGCCGCTTTACGACGTGAACCAAGGGGACACGCGCGCTTCGGTTGGATACCAGCCATGATAATATGTAATGCCTGTATAGAGCCAAGTGGTGGTCGATCGCGAATCTTTGAAGTTCGAGCTGGCTTTCCGCCGACAAACCCGAGCCGGCACCGATCAAGTATTAAAAATCATCCCGGCAAAACTATGAGAAAGCCAAACATTACATCTCATACTCGACGACATCGTACCCTCGCAGTCCTTATATCCGTTCCTTTTCCCTCTTTTTTCTTTTCTTTCTCTTTTTTTCGTACGGGCGGTATACTATACGGGCGAGCACCTGTGGCCACTTTAAACGATGCCGTGGTAAACGGTAGTCAGGATAGATTGAACGGTCCGATACGGTTTTAGCTCTCTTCTTTTGCCGTGAGGATCTCGGGACTCGCGCTTTAACCCCTCGACTCATTAGAGCCCATAACTCTGTTCACCGAAACGTTTTACGTTCGTTGCCGTGCGATGTAAGTATACTTAAGTACATAGCCCATCAAAAGGAAGCTCTCGCTATTCTTACAATGTTGCCTCCGAGTAGCTACCATTTTCTTTTGCGTTTCTTTTTATTTCGTTCAGATTTGATCGCGAACGAATGAAAAAATATTATACGCGAAGAAAAACGAAGAAAAATCGTATAATTTTTTTCAATTATTTCAATTTTTCAATGCTTGGGTTATATTATCATAATTGTATTGAAATAGGGTTAAAAGTTATTATTTCCTATTTTCCTTTTTTTCGATTTATTCGAATTCATAACTCTTTTGCTTATTTACATTTGCGCGTGACATAACCTCAATAATCGGTTACTCGATACTTTCTCTTTTCAATATTCCACCTTATTTTTTTTGGAATGCTTTTAAAATTATTTTTCCCCGTTATCTGTGTACATTGATAATTATTTCAAAAAATTGATCGAAGCTATCCTACGACATATAATGCCGTGATAATCGTGCGGACGAACGATACGAGGTCACGTGAGCATCGACTGCTGGCTTCGTCATATTTTTTTTTACTTGAGCCTCGTTGGGTTTTTAGGGGATCAGAAACGACGAGATCGGCTAGAAACGCGAGGACTTTGTTGCGTGTTATTGCCGTTTTTCCCAAGGACCTCCCACTGTCCTTCTAACGAGACCACCAAAGGTACGGGGACTAAAAACAACGCAAGAAACCTACCAAAGTACGCTCTTTATACGGGATGTTTTATATCCGTAGCCAATTGGAGTGAGTGCAGTCGCTCCAATTATGGACGAATATATAAAGTCGAATCCTGTCGGATACCACGATACCATTGCGACCCTTTATATGGCAAAAACTATAGAGAGCGCGAAGTCCATCATCGGGTTCAGCCTCGAATTTACTGTTACAGTGGCGGCGTCGCTTGCCATCCGTGGAGAGGACAGCATGATCTAGATGCTGTTTTTTGCCACTAGAGACGCTGCGAATCGAGCACATTTGCGCCTCTACTCGCGACTTTCCATTTCGAATCAACGAATTTTTTGGCGAAAATCGAGCGTGGTGCCAAACGCTTTTATTCCGTCTCGTTTCTTCTTATTATTATAAAATATTCTACTGTTTCTAATAGAAACAAAGTGAATTTTATTTTCATTTATTCGGACAAGAAGTTGAATTGGTGGATGTAAATCGAAGAAGAAAGAAGATTCGATTAAATTAGGTTAGGTTAAGAGGGAAGAACGAAGTAAGTGAATTTTTTGGTGATTCTCGTTTTATAAGTTCAATTTATCGTAGTCTCGTTATCAGACTTTATTACTTTTAAATTAATTAGATGAAATCAAATAGATTCAGCAAATTTGGTTAATTCGTTGATCTAATTATTGGTTACTGGCGGCGAATTTGGATCTGAATCGCGAACAGTGTCGATTATTCGTTCGGTTGTACCAATCGTGCTACATTCATGGATCTGCCCTGCAATTTGGTCTTGTTTCAAATACAAATAACACGGCACGATACCTCTATCAATAGAACGAGAGTGTACGAAATAAACAATAGCCTGTTTCCATGAAACTATCGTGCTTCCATTTCGAGAAAGAAATTTATCGAAATTTCGGATCCATTCATCTCGAATTATCGTCGGAACGAGAAAAATGGGAACAATTTCGAGGAGGAAGAGGAAAAACCCGTGTTCCGCGAATGAACTCGTTTCTCGAACGTTCGGCAATTAATAAAGGCGCGCGGCTTTGTGTAAACGCGATTCTCGTTCATACGCAAAACAAAGCAAAAAGCGTGTGCCAGCCAAAAGTAACATTTCAGATTGTAAGAGAGTAAAAAGAAACTGGCGGCGGGAGACCATACATTACATAATGAATTCTTGTACACGCTCGGATAATCGTGCGCAATAAAAAATCATTCCACCGTCGCATTGTTCAAGAATTAATTAAAATGGCGCGAGAACAAACGGCCGGCCAGAATTATGAGGAGAGGAGGAGGTAAGAAAGGCTGCGGTTCTCTTTGGAATCCCGGCGGCGACATATCACTGGGCGGTAGATCACACGAACTCTTTTGCAGTTTGCACCGGGACCGGATAAAATGCTGCAGCGGCTCCAACCTCGCGCATCTTTTACGTATGCACGAGCATAAGCATAACGCAGAGGAACATGGGTAGATGATATCGTGGATGCACCTACGGGGCCACGGGGCGTCGACGCGACTCCTTTGTCCTCGTTCCTGGCCGCTCGTTCTTCTTCCCTGCAAACGCTTCGCCCCCGGACGACCTCTTGCCGCACACACATTTTGTTCGCGGAAATACCAATCTCGTGCATCAATCCTGCTGGGTTTGAAGAATTGTATCAAAGGAACACGCTGCGTGCCAGCTACTGTAGCATAAAGATTACCATCTGATCTCCTCGAGATCTCTGATACTGTTATTTGGCGTGGTAATATTTTTTCCTTTTTTCTCTCTCTCTCTCCCCTTTTTCTTTCTTTCTTTCTTTCTTTTTTTCAGGTTTCCAGAGACACGAATCCTCCCCCCGTATCCACGCGGTTGTAATTATTTTAATCGAGCTAATCTCTCTGATCGTGACGACCCTTGTAAATGGCGTTACAAAGTGCGCTTAATGCACATTCATGGCCACGTTTAAACGTGGTGTTTGCCAGTCGTTCCGATGCAGTGATTTTGGCCCATTAAAAATATTGCGAGAATTACGTTTCGATTGGGAATGATTCGATCGTTGGGGACTCTTCAAGAGGGCCGAACTTAATCATTACTCGCCGTTTCATTAGAATATGGTCGATAAAAGGGATTTAATTATAAAGGCTTACCATTACGACGCTTCCTTCCCGTGGAGACTCATGTGCGTGCTTACACGTTTCTTCTCGTGTTCCCTTTCTTCGTCTTTTGTACTTTGTGTTATATATTTTTACACACGGTCGGTGATTAGTAAGGCTATTTTCTTCATTACAAAACATTGTTGCCAAGAATTGTTCTCATTATGGAAGTACGTATCATTATCTGGATAATTTTGTTTCAAGACTATTATACCGTATATTATGCAAATCAGACTCTCTTTGTAAGTCCCACGTGTGATTATCAACACCATTAAGACGATATAGTTGTTCTGAATTAAGTAACTTTCTGCTTATTTGTAGTATACAATACAGTAGAGTATAAAAATTCGAGATTCTTTTGTGTCAAGTCGATGAAATTTTTAACAATTTTAACTTATATTGATAATTCTAATCTTAATTTTGTTAAATAATAATTTCATAATACAAACAAATGATTCAAAAATAATTATGTTTTTATATTACTTAATTTTGCAAATTGCTCCTGTATATCTTGAATACTTGCAAAATAAGTATTAACAATTTTTTTACTTCTTTGGTACAACACTTGTTACTATATGTTAATCATATTAGTGTACCTATCATACTCTTGACACAGATAAATTTTTTTCTAATATGACAAAATAATTTGAAAATATAACTATGAGCAACCAAACAAGTTAAACTTGCAATAATTAGTCATCATCTATATATAATTAATTCAATAATGATTACTGCAATTTATTTCTGAAATGTTCGTACGTTTATTTAAGTTAAAACATACATTCTGAATAAGTTACAGAGTAAACTGGTCAAACTTGAACTCGTAAACAGATCAGACAACATAATAAAAATCGGAATCAATCATTCTATCGGTCATTGTCGATGCGTATAGCAGCACTTAAATCGCGGTGTTTAAAACTCCATCTGGCGATGCATGGTTACTCGCATTAGTTTGTGCGGCGGGTTCGTTGGCCGGATGTTTGCATGAATGGAATATAACGCGTCGGGCTGCTAAAAGGTTTTACGAATCGTCTATTTGCGCGGATCGAATCAAATATCTAGTTCCATCGTCGGTTAATATGTTTGGCTTCGAAGTGAAAAATTGGTTTTTGCATGGTCGTCGATTTTTTTTTTTTATACGTGTATTCGACGACGTGGGATTCGAGCTAACAGTTGGATCGCGCGTTACACATTCCACACCAAATCCTACACAATTATAATGCAATTAAATTGATTGGTATATTATGCGTTATGCATGAGGAATAACGATTGCACTCCTTTACTAATAATGTTAACAATTTTTTTGTTAAGGTGCGATATGATTACAACTCGTTAGTACATTATTAAAGAAAGAAATTACACGTTGCGTTCGTGTATTCATTTTCACGCATACATAATTTTTATTTGCATCTCGAAGTAGCAATTAGACATCATTCTTCGCTTCTGCTCCGATATCGTAGTTTGTTGTAGCAATACGAAAGACGATAATACTGTTACTACGTTTTCATAGTCATTGTCACGTACAATGTATTAATATGTACTATTAGACGCACGATTCTTAAATTCTTATCTTGGATTTAAAAAAAATTACGTGCAATAGCTACGTTCGCTCGAGAGAGAAGTTGATTTAATTTTAAAATATTTTGAATTCACTATGCGTATCATGCGCGTCACAGAAGTCGTCTTTATCGACGGTACGGTGAAAAGTGGAAACGGCGGCGCTGTAGCGTCGGCCAGTAGTGTCAAGATGGCGACGCCCAGTGAACTGTCTCTCGAAGAAATTCGTCAATATTTGTTGGAAAATGGGGGTACTGCTCGTAATCACGATGTAGTGAAGCACTTCAAGAAGTTTTTGACAGATCCAGAAACGCGAGGTACGTTGAAAATCCGATTTACGGCGTAGTTGAACGAGTGTCTTACTTTCGCAAGGTGTGACTCGAACGTTACACGGCATGCTGTGTGTAAACACGGAATACACGTTAATACTTGTCACATTCAACGTTAAATCTAAGGACAGTTAGTGAATAGTGTTTAAATTTACGTTACAGTCGAGGCACGAAATCAGTTCAAGGAATATGTAAACACCCTGGCTACTATAAAGAACGAAGAGGTACGTCATCGACTAACAATTTCCTTCCGCCTTGACAGGAGCGACTTGTTGCGCGTTTTGCGACGTTGCCGGTTTTTTCAATGTCTCGCGCGGCTAATAGAAAATTCAATTATCTGAGAAAAGTTTTCTTTCTCGTTTTTTTTAAATCTTCGTTTTATTATATATCATATACTACGTATATTATCGTTAAATTTTAAATATTTATACAAATTTATCATTTATTTTTACACCTTTTACGTATCATAGTATATATCATGCTTTGAATATTTTGCATATCTTTTTGCATATCTATGTGTATATTCTGTAAATTTTTTTTTTTTAAATGCATTTCCTCTCCACATCATACGTTACGTGTTTATATTTTGTTTTATTTGCTTGAAATGCAAAATGATAATTATATAATATGATAATTATATTCATATAAAAAAAAAATATTACAAAAGAAATTATTTGTGCAGGGTGAGAAATATTTAGTTCTCAAGAAGAAGTATCGTCAACTTCCTATAGATTTGGGGATTTCGGATCAAATGACATCACCCATAAATAGCCCTGATATATCAACTCCGCTTTCTCCTTTACGAGTTCCGCCACCTTACCGACCACCACCTCCCGCACCTCTTAGTCCTCCGACCAATAATGCGAACCGCGAAGAATCGTGTTCGAATTTTGACCGTGAAGAGGCCGCTATTAACGCGCGGAAAAATGGCGTCGAAAGCGTCGAGACAGGATTTTCAACAACCTCGCCTCCTGTACCACCACGTCGTAAAAGTCAAGATAAAGTCAAGATGGAAAATAAGGAGAATGTCGATAGAAATAGGGGAGGATCGGAGGCAGTTATCAAGGTTAGTTTTTTTAAAATCTATGCAAAAATAAAAATACGAAAACATGGAATTTTATTAAGATTAAAAAAAAAAAACAAAAATAAAACAAAAGAAGGAAGGAAAATATAATTGATAAATATTTCTTTTAATTCGTTCCGATTAGAATTTGATAAAATTTCATGTTTTTTTATATTACGCACGTCATGTAGTACGTATTACTTATGTTGTCTATAGTATCCTGGTTGTGGTCATATATGTAAATAAGTGTGCAAACGATAAAATGGTTGAACACGTTTTCGCTTTATCGGGTAATTATCGAGGTTAGATAATTTTGGTATTATTGAGCAATAGTGTTGCGTTGTACATGGTTTGGTTATGTGAAAGGTGTTCATGGTTACAATAAATGTCATTTACGCAGTATGTTACCGATCACAGCGCCACACGACAGTGGCGTGTACCTCATCCTGTATCGAAAGCTTAACGTTCTGTGCATAACGACATCGGTATCCGTATCCATGAGCGATTACCAACCTATATCCAAAACACTTTCGTTTATTCGTTTACAGTCATTTGGCATGCTTTAAACATCACATACATACACACATATATATATATTGTCTCGCTTTAATTAGCACCGTAGCATGATAGTAATGGCATAGATAAAGCACTCTTTCCCAGTGTGTGTTATTCGCGTCGAGTATATATCCATATATGTCGCGCCGCACGGTTTCTTGTCACTCTCTTTGTTGCTCTATCGCTGTCTCCTTGTTCGTTCCGCCTTTTATCAGTAGTTGGACGTAGTAGCGTCGCTATCCTCTTAGACTTGACAATTCGAGATATTAAAACATGCAGGAAGATGAGGCTGTCGCGACGAATCCGGGCTCAACCGAGCAATTAAGCTTCCGCGAGCGGATGCAACGTTTCAACCGGATGGCTAGCGAAACCGATCTCCAAGGCAGGCCTAATGGCACTATCACACCTACTAAAAAGCGATCTGACAAGGTAATCGATAATCTTCTTTAATACATAACCTCTAAAACGATTATATCGATCGATCACCGGACATACATCGGACGTTCACCGGAGCGTAATATTCTCACCGTTTTACCGGCAGTGGAGACAATTATCTCACCGTTCGTCCACGGAATAGCTACCTCCTAGCTATTCGGTTCATTGACTAACAACATCATGCATTCTATCGTTGCTTCGCGACATACATTCCGCTATATAAGGTACGCCCGAGTAACTGGCTAATCGCTGTCGATAATCGGTAGCTCGTGCAAAATAACGAACGATTACGAAATGTAAACGAGATACAACATTTATTTTTTTATTCGATCGTTATCATTATTATATATATATATATATATATATATTGTTCGTTATTTTATCGCTCGTTATTTTATCGCTTTATGTTCGACTACGTATCGCGGAATTATCCTCTTTACTGGATTCCTCCTCGAAGCGAATAATTTCATATCGAAATGAAATATATTGTAAAATTTTTTCAAATGCTTGGATTCTTCGTTAGTTACAATCGACGAAAATGAAAAATGAGGTTAGAACGAGGATCGATTATTAATAATCGTTGCAATAAAAATTTGCTCCAATGAAATTTTTTCAATTTTTCGATATTACTTAATTTCAAACTTTTTGAGGTTATGACGAGTAAATACAATATGTGGAAGAATGAATAAACGCAATGAATCGACGATGTTCGACTTAAATAGTCAAAATAGAATTCATTAAACGAGTGCGTAATTCTCGTGAGCATCTCCTTTATCCCATATATAAGATATCGACAAATTATTTAAGCTTACTAACAGAATGCTCGCACTATCCGGCTATGATCTTCACGCGGGTGTAATTCATGTGAGAACACGTATGAACCGGGAGCAGTTATAAATACGTATCTTTTATTTCCCCGAGAGATAAGATCGGTTAATAACACAACGTGTTTTTAAACGTTTCCCCTTCAAATCATAACCTCTCATCTCCACTGTTCGACACCGAGTTATCGGCGAGGAAAGGTTATGATGCTCTCGGCCCTCGATACATCGAATAATCCACACGCGAGGATACGCATCCTTTCTCTTTTTCTCTTCCCTTTTCGCGAAGAAGGGACACGCGGTGCGTACAAGTCTGGCCGCTCATCTTGCATACCGAATAGACTACTAAGAATCCTTTTCTCGTATCCTTTACACGCGCGCCTCCCCTCCACTCGGCCCGTCTCTCTCTCTCTCTCTCTCTCTCTCCCTTCCACTCGCCGCGCAGCCATCTCGTCTCTCTTTCCTCCCCTTCCTCCTTTTCTCATCTCGTCCGTCGGTGTCGTTCGTGCGCCGTTTATCGCGGCGAGCAATATTCATCGCATTTGAATATCCTGCGGGCGGTATCTCGCGTACCGATCAGGATGTTGCGTCGATGTTGCCGTAAATCATAATTAGCCGCGCCTGAAAATTAAAAGTGGAGGAAGGTGTGCGCGCAGGGGGGGAGGAGGAGGAGGATCATCCCTTTCCGCCGCGATTTACAACAAACGCTCGTCCTTTACGCGCTCGATCCTCCTCGTCGTTATTTCGATATCGCCGAACGATTAAAAGGATGAGTAATTTTTTTTTTTTAATTTTCCCAAACTTACTTTATTATACCACGACGAGAAGAAAAAGAAAAAAAAATGTTTCTCTCTTGAAAATAACGATCGGTTCGGTTTATATACAATTATAAAATCGTATCGCGTCGGGATATTCGTGTGGGTGGCCTACAATTCCTATCCTGCATCTAGATTGTCCCTAGGAACGAACGTGTATATATATAACCGGAAACTGTTATACAACAACGAATATGCGAGCCGCAAAGGGGCTCACGGGTGGCGCGTGGGCCCCAAACGATAATTATTTATTATTCACCCGTCATCATCTATTTGGTGGCGGCCCGTCTTTCATCGTCTATCCTCCCTCCCGAGCCGGCCCTCGAGGTTGTTAATTTTTATTAGTCGTCGAGATAGGGTTTCGGGGGAATCCTCTCACCTCCGGACATCCTGCAATCTCTCGGCAGCTCTCTCTCTCTCTCTCTCTCTCTCTTTCGCTGTAATTATCATGCGGCGTGGCCGCCGCTATCCCGCCCCTCGAATCCTTAATGAGCCCCTCGGCCAACGTTGTGTCGCGTGCCGCGTCGCCAACACGTTTCACGTAATTTTCCGCCGCGCTTTCCTCGAACGCCTCGTTATGGGTCATTGAATGCAGCCGCCGTTTGATACGCGACGGGACGAATGATCACGCGACCGATTAGGGAGAGGTCTGGGAATTCGATGAAATTTTTCTTTTTCTTTCTTTAACGACGGATTTAGTCAAAGTTGAAAATATTTATCGCTAAGTAAATTTAGTCGAAGTTTTTTTTTTTTTTTCAGTTCACATTTCACGCACGAGATTGGTGGAATATTCGAAATTCATTTCACAAACAATTCCTCCACAAGTTAATGCGGTTATTCGTAGTCACACCTGGCCCCGGCCAAAGTTTTTATGTAAATTCCCGAAAATGTGGGTGGTAAAAGAATACTATTAACTCTCTTCTCCTCCGTGAGAATTTCCCCGAGAATCTCCCCTCGAACGGATCCTGCCTTCGTTCGTTCGTTTTTCAATTGCCTCGAAAGCCGCTTTTACTTCGACACCTCGACGCGTTCTAATTAGGATCACGCGTGTTCCGTTCCTCTCCTCTTCACCCTAACCGGAGAGACGAGGAAGATACTCGTCGTAAAGGTGGGTGAACACGCCGAACTTGGAATTTCTCTCTTCCTATATATATATATATAGTTCCGCATACATTAGGGAGCCACTCTTGCAGGGTAGAAACTTGGCAGGGTAGTTTGCCTGCCGGGCAAGGAAGCGAGGAAGCGAGAGCTGGATTCGGGTTGTTGAAGGACGAGAGCAAGTACCGGTGGGTGTAAACCGCGCAAAGTAATCTTACAGAATGTATATGCAAAGAGGTTCACCAAGGGGGAGGGGTGGGTGGCAGCACAGCTTGCATGATCCCATCCGCGACAACACCGACAAGACACCCCCGGAGGCAAACTTACCTTCGCAGGGCGGCGTAGTTTCGCAAGACTACGCTCGACCTTTGCTCCTCTCTCTTCCTTCTTTCATCCCTAGTTAAGGGATTCGACGGAATCGTGATGAAAGTGATTAATTCGGCATTGCTTTTTTTTTTTTTTTTTTTCGAAATGAAATTTTTTCAAAATCCGCGTTACTAACGATTCTTGGCACGGACAGATGGATAGGGGAGCATAAAAGGGAAGTTGGTTCATTATGCCTTGTTCTCTTCGAAACGATCGAAATCCATATTTTATTCGCCGATAAATTGAGCGATAAATAAATAAGGGTAAACGAAATAGAATTTTCTCGAAAGGATTCGATCGAGTTCTATTTTACCATCTATCGGTAAAAAAAAAAATCGATTAATTCGAGCAAATTTTATTCCGCTTTATACACCTTTTCCATCTCGCTCAATCGACCACATCGATATAAACGAGCTTGTCCGCAAGAGCAGTTAGCGCGTGTCCATGCATTCCGCCCTATTACGAGTTAATCTCGAAGGTATATATATACACGCTTATTATCATTTAAATTGGCGGTGGTCCACGCACAAGCGTTAAATTTGTAAAGGTTTAAAGGGGCGATCTTTCTTTGCCGAAAGATTGTGAAGCCAATGAACATCTGGTTGATACCTGAACGAACTTTTCGAACGTGTATTTTGTTCATATCAATTCGTTCTCACTGAATGTATACCAAATGTGTCCTCGATTGATAAAATTGAATACTGTCACAAAAACAATGATTATAGAGAAGTATGAAAATTAAGGCTCTTTAATGATATACACAATATTATATATATATATATGTGTGTGTGTATTCTTCTTCTTCATAATCAGAACGAGGACTTTTTTAATGCGTTGATATTATAACACAAATATTATTATTGTTGCATCATTAAATATTTATATATATATACTTGTCCATAATCATCGTTAGAGGAGAGGAGACGTGTTTAGTGAGAGGAATCGCGTAACTAAATTCCTCTCCATCCGCGGGTGTTCGTCTCCCGTAGTGACAGTGCGTCGAAAAACTGATGGTGACTGTCACGATCAGCCTCCACCCCTTCCGGGTCGCTCGTTGGTGGTCCCATTACGAGGGGGCCCACCTTTCCTTTTCCTTTTCCTCCTTTGGGATTGGCGAGGAGGATCCATCGATTGAAATCACACTCGAAGAGAGAGAGATTTAATTTATTATTATTATTGTTATTATTACAGTATACACAGGAGTGTAACTTCTTTTTTCTCGAAATTAAAACGAATTCTCGAAACTCGTCGCCCGTCCAAGGTTTAACAAATAAATCCATCGAGTTTCAATCTCTCTTCCACCGGTGTTATATACACGAATCCTCGCCGATAGAAACCTTAATTAAGGAATAATTTATACGAGGCGACACGTGTCCATCCCATATTCTTCCGCCTGTAAAAGAAGGAGGGGAAGATTCACAAAGATTCCTCGTGTTTCTTCCAGAACAGAGTTAGGGGAATTGTTGATTCCCTCGTGACTGTGCGTATATGGTAATTCGTCCTTTATTTTTTCTTTCACATTTCGACATACATTGTAAATTCATTAGAAAGTTGAGGGGCACGCGTGGCTGTCAGTGGATCGAAGGAGGCGCAGCTCTTACACGACATTAGCCGCAGATAAAGCGAGACTCCAATCGTGAAGGAGCGTGGGTATCTTCTTGCTGATCGACCGGGGAATGCCATTCCTTTCTGAAGCCAGAACATGGACGCGTAATTTGTGCAATGCGTCCTTTTTCAAATGAAGAAATACGATTCGTTTCATCCTTCTCTGATCAATCTCACATCTCGCACTTTCGAATTTTCGGCTCCGTTTCACGTCTCAGGGAGGCGATACTCGGCCCGAACAATCCTTAAGGGGTTGCTGTTCCGATACAAGGACGATATCGTCCGATGC